GGTCAGGAGTTCAAGACCAGACTGACCAACATGGTGAAACCCCGTCTCCACTAAAAAGTACAAAAACTAGGCCAGGCAGTGGTTCATGGCTATAATCCCAGCACTTTGGGAGGCCAAGTTGGGTGGATCACCTGAGGTTAGGAGTTCAAGACCAGCCTGGCCAACATGGCAAAAACCCATCTCTACTAAAAATACAAAAAAAATTAGCCAGGCATGGTGGTTCATGCTTGTAATCCCAGCTACTCGGGAGGCTGAGGCAGGAGAATCACTTCAACCTGGGAGGTGGAGGTTGCAGCGAGCCGAGATCGCACCACTGCACTCCAGCCTGGGAGACAGAGTGAGACTCCGTCTCAAAATAAATAAGTAAATAAATAAAAATACAAAGATTAGCCACGTGTGGCGGCACACGCCTATAATCCCAGCTACTCAGGAGGCTGAGGTAAGATAATTCCTTGAACCCGAGAGGCAGAGGTTGCAGTGAGCAGAGTGCGCACCACTGTACTTCAGTCTGGGCAACAAAGCGAGACTCCATCCCAAAAGAAAAAAAAAAAATGGCTAGGTGCAATGGCTCATGCCTGTGATCCCAGCTCCCAGCACTTTGGAGGCCAAGGCGGGTGGATCACCTGAGATTAGGAGTTAGAGACCAGCCTGGTGAAACCCCGCCTGTACAAAAAATACAAAAATTAGCTGGGTGTGGTGGCAGGCACCTGTAATCTCAGCTACTCCGGAGGCTAAGGCACAAGAATCACTTGAACCTGGGAGGCAGAGGTGGCAGTGAGCCAAGATCACACCACTGCACTCCAACCTGGGTGATAGGGCGAAACTCCTTCTCAAAACAAGGGGGAAAAAAAAGTGTACAGACATGTTGTCAAATGTCTGCTAAGAGTCAAAATTGCTCCCATTGAGAATTACTGCAAGACAATACACATCACAACAGACAATAAATCAGTAAATGCCAAAGACAGGGCCCCTCCTCCACTGTGTTCCCTGCTGTCTTCCCAAAGCCTGGTACAGCACGTTGGGAATGGCAGTCACACAGTATTTGTTGGCTGAACAAGTGACTCACCTTCCTTAGGACTTTCATGGCATATATTTTGCCCAAGTTGGTGCCTTGCACCTTTCGCACCTGGAACACCTGTAGGGCAGGGGAGACAGGATCAACTTCCCTCTCCACATACTATCTTCAAGAAGCCCCACCCTAAGCTCTGGCTTTGGGACCAGGAGGTCTAGGCCCTGCCAAGGGTGCGGCAGTGAAGATTTCAAGTCCGATTGGAGAGGATTTGGCCTTCCCTCCTTTATGTTTCTGGCTCTGAATCCCATTAGAAGCCCTGCTGATTCACAAGTCTAATTTGTTTTGAGAAGCTTTTGCTGCCTCCAGATGGAGGTTGTGAGGCAGGAGGAGGGTGCGCCCGCCCCTACCTTGCCATAGCCCCCCTTGCCCAGCACACGCAGCAGCTCAAAGCAGTGGGGCCCGATGCACTCTGGGCAGAGGTTCACGCTGGTCTCAGTCAGCTCCACCTCTTCATAGTGTCCCACAGGCCTACAGATACAAGGAGTTAATAAGGACAAGGCCCTAGTGTTCCCCAGTTCCCCTTCCCCACTCCATTCCCCCCTCCCCCAACACGACCCTCACTCACTCCAGGCCAGCTGCCCTCAACTCGGCAACGGGACACACGTCCTGTGAGAAACCGAGGGGTAAGAGCCAAGGAAGGTGCCAGGATACCTCCCCGCTCCCGCTCAGGTTGGACTGCTTGGCCCAGGAGAAAAGGGTGTCAGGCATGGCAGCTGGCACGGGATGTGCAAGAACTGCGAAGAAGCCGAGGGCAGGAAAAGGAGAATCGGGGGAAAAGGCTGGGGTTCTGGAAGAGAGATCGGGGTGAGGGTGGGATCAGAGCTTAATAGAGGCCGGGATCTGAGAAGGATCTGGGTCTGCAAAGGGTCGGAGCCCGCTGCGGGCGTGCGGAGCCGCCGCTCCAGCTTCGGCTGGGTGACAGGATCGGCTCCAAGATCCAGTAGCGCCAGGGCGGAGCACTCACCGCGGAGCTGAGCTCTGGCTCGCCCTCGCCCTCGCCCTCGCCCTCGCTGCCTTCCTCCGTCTCCAAATCCAAATCAAACACGGCCGCCATGGAGGCGCCGGCCCCGCGGGCCACCCGGCCCGTACCCGGCCGCGCACCGACTGACAGTCCCGGACCTAAACATCATCTCTCCGCGACGGCGGCCGCGCGCGCCGATGACGCAAGGGGTCTTACTCCCCCTCCGCAAAATCGCTTGGCCTGGTGGGGAACAAAGATGGCGTCCATCGCAAGGCCTCTCGGGAATTGTAGTCCTAGAGTGGCGAGGCGCCCAGCCTTCAGCCTGCGGAATCCTCTCGGCAGGACCCTCGGTCTTCCCAGCACGGCTCTCTGGGAGCCCGTTTTAGTTCTACGGAGAGTTTTGAGTTTGGATGGGGCAGGGTCGGAAGTGTATGCAGGTGTGAATGTAAATGCAATCCCCAGCTCTGCTGGAGCCAGGTACTGCCAGGCCGGCTGCGTGATGAAAGGCAAGTCGCGTTGCTTTCCGTTCGCTCCTGAAAGGCAGACAGTGGCATCAGGGTCTCCTCAAAGTGCCTCTGGCTCGACGACCCTGCAGATCGGAGCATTTACTGAGTGGCCAGCTCACTGCCAGGTTATGTTGCCAGGTTCCCGCCTTAAATAGGGTTTGGGGGTCAGTGATACACCTGTAAATATGAGATTTTGTTGGCGTTTACTCCCTCGTCAGTTTAAGCACATTTAGGCACCTGGTACAGAATAGACACTTCAAAAAACGTTGTTGAGGCCGGACACGATGCCTCACGCCTGTAATCGTAACACTTTGGGAAGCCAAGTCGGGAGGATCACTTGAGGCCAGGAGTTCAAGGTTACAGTGAGCTATGATGGTGCCACCGCATTCCAGGCTTGGTGACAGAGTGAGATCCTGTCTCAAAAAAACAAACAGGTCAGAGGTGGTGGCTCACACCTGTAATCTCAACACTTTGGGAGGCCGAGGTGGGTGGATCACTTGAGGCCAGGAGTTGATGAAACTCTGCCTCTACTATAAATACAAAAATTAGACAGGCATGGTGGCACGCACCTGTACTCCCAGCTACCGAGGAGGCTGAGGTAGGAGAATCGCTTGAACCCGGGCAGCGGAGGTTGCAGTGAACCAAGATCGCACCATTGCACTCCAGCCTGGGCGACAGAGTGAGACCAAGTCTCAAAACAAATAAAACCCCAAAACTTGGCCGGGCGCGGTGGCTCGGACCAGCTTGACCAACATGGAGAAACTGTGCCTCCACTAAAAACAAAATTAGCCGGGCATGGTGGCGCATGCCTGTAATCCCAGCTACTCAGGAAGGCTGAGGCAGGTGAATTGCTTGAACCTGGGAGCGGAGGTTCCAGTGAGCCAACATCATGCCATTGTAGTCCAGCCTAGACAACAAGAGCAAAACTTCGTCTCAAAAAAAAAAAAAAAAAAAACCCCAAAACTTTACTGTTTTTTTCTTTTGTTTAGTTTTTCAGACAGGATCTTATGCTGTCACCCAGGCTGAAGTGCAGTGGCAAGATCATGGCTTATTGCAGCCTTGACTTCTTGGGCTCCAGTGATTCTCCCACCGCCAATCCCAAGTAGCTGGAACGACAGGCACATGCCACCATACCCAAACACCCGGCTAATTTTTTTTTTCTGTTTTCTTTTCCTTTCTTTCTTTCTTTCTTTCTTTTTTAGAGAGGGGGTCTTGTTTTGTTGCCCAGGAGGCTGGTCTTGAACTCCTGGACTCAAGTGATCCTCCTACCTTGGCCTCCCGAAGTGCTGTGATTACAAGCATGAGCCACTGCACCCAGCAAAAACCAAAGACTCTGCTGACAGAATGAACACAGGCCAGGCAGAGTCGCTCATGCCTGCAATCCCAGCACTTTGGGAGGCTGAGGCGGGCAGATCACTTGAGGTCAGGAGTTCGAGACCAGTCTGACCAACATGGTGAAACTCCATCTCTACTACATATACAAAAATTAGCCGGGCGTGGTGGTACATGCCTATAATCCCAGCTACTTGGGAGGCTGAGGCAGAAGAATCGCTTGAACCTGGGAGGCAGAGGTTGCAGTGAGCCAAGATCACGCCACTGCACTACAGCCTGGGCAACAGAGTAAGACTCCGTCAAAAAGAAAAGAAAAGAGAAAAAGAAAGAAAGAACACATTCAACACAGCAAATCTTGTCTGTGACACGTGGTCTGTGACTTTAGATTGGGTATGGATTTGGCGGGGCGTAGTGGTTCACACCTGCAATCCCAGCACTTTGGGAGGTCGAGGTGGGTGGATCACTTGAGGTCAGGAATTCAAGACTAGTCTGGCCAACATGGTGAAACCCCATCTCTACTAAAAAAACAAAAATTAGCCGGGTCTGGTGGTGGGCGCCTGTAATCCCAGCTACTTGGGAGGCTGAGGCAGGAGAATCACTTGAACCTGGAGGCAGATGTTGCAGTGAGCCGTGACTGTGCCACTGCACTCCACCCAGCCTGGGCAACAAGAGTGAAACTCTGTCTCAAAAAAAAAAAAAAAAAAGATTGGGTATGGATTCTTGTTGGATGGGGATATGTGGATGTGAATTTGGGCCAGACCAGGCCTTGGGTGTGAGTTCTGATTGTTGGAAGCTGTCTAGGTGTGCATTCCGTTTGCATAGGGGAGGTTGGGTATGAACTGAGGTGGACAGAATTCAAGGGTCTCCAGGCACACAGAGGGTTATCTGGTTGGATGTGGCCCTTTGGTTGTAATTCCACCAAAGGAGATCCTCAGGTTCAGGTCTTGATGTGGGTATAGGGCAGGCCCCTGGCAACCCAGGGCAACCCAGAGACCAGGCCAGTGGGGTGGTTTTCCCTTAGCTCCAGATGCTACAAGTATCCCCAATCCATCTCTTGAATCCCCTTCCCCACCCCCTATCTAGCTGATCCTGGGAGGAGTTGTCCAGTCAAGAGAACCTATCTAGACACTTCACTAGTACATAAGCCTTTATTTGGGGAGGGATGCTTGGGGAGCTGTCTCCAGTTCCTGTGCTGCACAGAGGCAGGAGTTCTTAAAGCATCTTCCCTGAATGAGGAAGAGAATGTAGACTCCTTTGCCAATGCTAGTTAGGTGTGCTGGAGGCCAAAGCACCAAAGCTTCGTGGAGAAGGTTTGTGATGCATAGGAGGGAGGCGTTCACATGTCTCAGGGCCACTCGTGAATGAGGGCAGGGAGGTGATGGGGGCCTAGAAGCTGAATGGGCATGTAAGACTTGATCAAAACAGAAACCTGGACCCTGCATCATGTCCTGTGACCCACCCTCCACAGTGGTATAATGCTGGAGCAGTCATTTTTCCTCTCTCAGCCTGTTTCCTTTCATCGGGGGAATGCAGGCAGTAGTGTCTGCCCGGGGTGAGTGGAAAGAGGATTGCTTCTGTCCACAGTCCACCTGCCTCTACTGCTCAGGCCGAATGAGGCAGGTTGGATGCCGCCAAGTTTTTAGCAGGCTCTAGAGCTATCCTAGAATTTGGGTAAGAGAAAGACAAGGGTTCTAGTCTCAGGTTTTTCTAGGATTTGTCCAAGGCTTGGGGCCCAGCCAGGTCCTCTCCTCTTGTAGGTGGCAGGAAGAGAGTGAGACCTGGAGGGGTGGACAGGAGGGGCTGGGTTTGGGCTCACTCCCACCTGGGGAGCTGGCGACAGAGGGGTGTGTGTGTGTGCGGTCATTGTCACTTCTCCAAGTCTAGAATGCTGGGGAAGCTCTGGGCTGGACTGGGGCGTTTGGGAGGGCAAGAGGCCCTTGAGTCCAGGATGCCTTGGTGTCAAAATTGCCCTGCTGCTCTGAAACAGACCTAGGCGTTGCAGCAGGCCAGGCTGGGGCTGGGGCATGGCGATGTGGAGAGAGGCAGGAAGAGCTCCAGGGAATAGAGGGTACCACAGTCCCTACTCCCAGCACTGCTTCCCTGCCCCCTGGCCCCAGTGCTATTTGAAGTGAGACAGGAAGTGAGCAACAGGGTAGCTGGGCCCGTCAATGCCCAGGCCCTGGCAGAGGCCCAGCAGGCGGAGGCGGGCCTCAGTGGGACTGGACCCGGCACAGGCCACACTGCAGTAGGGCTCCTCGTACTCCCCAGGCACCAGGGCCTCCTCCAGCAGATTGAGGCGTAGCAGGCCACGGTCGTGCAGGGCCTGCAGGGTCTCACGGCTGGCAGTGGAACTCAGGGCCTGCAGGTGCTGGGACACAAGGCACATGACGCCCACCAGGTGGCCACGAGCACGTGGGCGGGTGGGCAGGGCAGGACGCAGGCCGCAGGCCACCATAACAGCAGCCAGCAGCAGGTCCACGCCATAGAGCTCCAGGATCCAATCACGCAGGTAGAAGCCACCCATGCGGGGGTTGATCTCGATAAGCCGAGGCCCAGCCCCAGTCAGCTTGAGCTCCACGTTGAAGACCCCATCGAGCAGCCCACAGCCCAGGCAACAGCGGAAGGCCGCCTGCACCATCTGTGCCTCCTGCTCTGGTGCCAGCCCGGTGGGCATGCAGGCCGCCGTCTCAGTGAAGCCAGGCAGCCTCGTAGGGCCATTGTCAGAGACAAAGGCAGCCAGCAGCCGCCCACCAAACAACACCAGGTCCACATCGTGCTCGGTGCCCTCCACAAACTCCATCAGCAGCATGGCATTGCCCCAGCCCAGCCCAATGCCCGGGTGGTCGGCCTCGCCCTGCAAGTCTCGGGTAATCCGGGAAAAGTGCTCATGGCACTGTGGTGCATCCTCTACCAGCCGCACGCCCACTGCACCTGCCCCGAACTCCAGCTTCATGACACCTGGCAGGGGTACCTGGTGCACGGCCCTCTCCACATCAGCCTCACTCTCCAGTGGGCAGCAGGGCACAGCATGGAGGGAGGGCGCAGGCCAGGGTGGGCCATGGTGGCGCAACAGGTGCAGCTGGGTGAGGCTTTTCTTCTTGGCCAGGCGCATGGCAGCTGGGGGGCTGCAGGGCAGACCCAGCTCCTGGCAGAGCAGGGCTGTGAGCACCAGGCAGTCGTCCCAGTAGGAGAAGCAGCCATCTAGCTTTAGGCCGCGAGCCCGCACCAACTCTGCCAGCAGCCGTGCATTCTCCTCATCCCTCCGGTGCTCGGTCATGTCAAAGTGGATGAAGGTCTGTACCAACTGGGATGCAAAGTGGTTGGGGTCTGACTCCACGAGGTGCAGCTGCAGAAGCCACAGGGCGGGGCATATCCAGGTCAGCCAGTACTGGGTGCTAGGGGGATAGGATGGGGCCTAGGATGGCCCAGGTCTTCGGGGGATACGAGTGCACAAACACTAGGTGCTCAATAAATATGTGTTGAGGATTGACTGAATAAATGGAAGAGGCAGAAGTGCGACATCTAATACAGGCTGGAGGGGAGGGAAGGCATCCTAGACGAGGCAATGCCTAAGCTGGGAGCTGAAGAATATGAGTCAGCCAGGTGGCTGCAGGAGGAAAAGGCATGATCTGGGTGGGAGGGGCTGCAGCACAGAGAGGAGGGTGTGAGAGAGCACGGTGGACTCTTTCCCACAGGCAGCCTCACTGGCCAGGGCTTGCAGAGAAACTACCAGGGCTGGGGCTGGGGACAAGTGGTTTGGTCATCATTCACCCCAAGTGCTCTGACATTGAGAGGAACCCAGTGGGGCCCCATGCCCCTAAAACTTACTGCCTGCTGGGGGAACCCAGGGCAGAGGCAGCCACTGAAGAGAGAGGGAGGGCGGCTCTCTGCAAAGTAACACAGCCTCAGCAGTGGCGTGGCATTCCAAGTGGAGAAAACACTGAGCAAGGCAGGGAACACAGAGGTGGTGTCCCCAGGGGGTGCTGCACGGTGGGAGAGGGGAGAGGAAGCCACTTTGCTAGATTAGGGCCAGCTTGAGACAGCCTGTTTTCTTATCTGTTCAATGGGGATAAGAATGTCTACTCGGCCGGGTGCGGTCGCTCACACCTGTAATCCCAGCACTTCGGGAGGCCAAAGCAGGAGGATCGCTTAAGCTCAGGAGTTCAAGACCACCCTGCACAAGAGTGAGATACGGTCTCTACTAAAAATTTTAAAAATTGGCCGGGCGCGGTGGCTCACGCCTGTAATCCCAGCACTTTGGGAGGCCGAGGCGGGCGGATCACAAGGTCAGGAGATCGAGACCACAGTGAAACCCCGTCTCTACTAAAAATACAAAAAATTAGCCAGGCGCGGTAGTGGGCGCCTGTAATCCCAGCTACTCAGGAGGCTGAGGCAGGAGAATGGCGTGAACCCGGGAGGCGAAGCTTGCAGTGAGCCGAGATCGTGCCACTGCACTCCAGCCTGGGGGACACAGCGAGACTCTGTCTCAAAAAAAAAGAAAATTTAAAAATTAGCCGGGCAGGCTGGGCGTGGTGGCTCACGCTGAAATTAGCCGGGCAGGCCGGGCGCGGTGCCTCACGCCTGTAATCCCAGATCATTGGGAGGCCAAGGCAGGCAGATCACTTGAGGTCAGGAGTTTGAGACCAGCCTGGCCAACATGGTGAAACTCTGTCTCTACTAAAAATACAAAAATTAGCTGGGCATGTTGGCGCACGCCTGTAACCCTACTCAGGAGGCTGAGGCACGAGAATCACTTGAACCCAGGAGGCGGAGGTTGCAGTGAGCCAAGATTGTGCCATTCTACTCCAGCCTGGGAGACAGAGCGAGATTCCGTATTAAAAATAAAATAAAATAAAAAATAAAAAAAATTAGCCGGGCTGAGGTGGGAGGATCGCTTGAGCCCAGGAAGTCGAGGCTGCAGTGAGCTGTGATCGCACCACCGCACTCCAGTCTGGTCAACAGAGTGAGACCCTGTCTCAAAAAAATAAAAGTCTACCTGCCTGGCTCGCTCCAGATTCTGTAATGTGAGGCCCTGCTATGAACTGGATTCAGGATCTGTATGCGGCTCCCCAGCACCCTCTGCGGGTCCTGTGTGCCAAGTGTCAGGAATTCAACCTCAAAGGGCCCGCCCTTTCCCCAGGACAGAGCCAGGCTCCTTAGCCTGGCATTCAAGGCCCCCGCTCTGGCTCTAACGCTGTCCCTCCCCCAGCCCATCTACCCGGGCTCCTCTCCTCTTTCTGAGGAGGACTCCTTGCCTCTCCCCATGGCCTCTCACTCCAGGAAGGCACAGAACTAGCGGAGTCTCCTCACCCTCTCAGGACGGCGGAACCCGCCCCTACGCCCAGGCTTCCTTGTACCGGGCCAGGATGCCCCGCCCAAGTACCGCCCCTAGAGCGGGGGTCCCGCCCCAAGAGCGCCCCTTTGCTCCAGGCCCCGCCCCAGAGTCCCGCCTCCACCGCTCGGGCCAGGACCTGGGGCTCAGCCCCGCCCACCTGGAGCCCGTAGTCGCGCGCCGCTTCCCACACGAACTTCTTGCTGACGCCGCCCGCGCCGACCACCAGCAGCTGCTTGCCCTCCATGAGGCAGCGCGCCGACCGCCGTAGCATGGTTTCCACCAGCGGCGCGGCCGCCGCCTCGTCGGCTGCCGGCGCCAGCCGCGGCGCGGCCCACAGCCCCTCGAGCGCGCCACACGCCTCCAGGCACAGGCCGCCGTTCAGCTCCAGGGCCACGGGGGTCAGCATGCCGCCGGCCGCTTTCAGCGCGAAATCCACTCCTGCGCCGGGCGGGGAACGCGAGCTCAGCGCGGGCAGCCCCCGCCCTCCTGCCCCGGGCCTTCGGCTCCGGGCCCTGGCCCCGGTCCCGGCCGCCCTCACTCACCCAGGAAGTCCGTGTGCGCCCGGCGCCCGCCGCGCTGCTCGGCACTCAGGCCGGCCTCCAGAGCCAGCATGGCAGTCAGCGCGGCCTCGGCCGCCGCCTTAACGCGCTGCCGCACGGCCGCCACCTGCGCCTCCTCGCCCAAGCCGCACTGGGCCAGCGCCACCTCCAGCGTCCTCGGCAGGGAGTTGTGGTGCCGTAGAGGCCGGTCTCCGCGGCCCACGCCGCACACCACCTGGGCAGGGGGCGGCTCAGAGGGAGGACCACACACTCCTGCCCCCCATGCACACCCCCACCCCCTTGTGCCAAGATTCAGACCAGACCCCTCACTGGACATTCAAGAAGCCCTGTCCTCCAGCATGTCTTAAATTGCACATGAGCTATACCTGCCACTCCCCATCTGGTCCCCAGACCCCTCCAGGGATTCTACCCAGGCTTCCAGGCCCAGCTGGCGTCCCGCTCCAGGATGGCTCCTGCAGCCCTGAGGGCCTGGGCCGCCCTGGTGTGCCCCGCCCTAGCATCTCCCCTCTCCCCTACCCCACTGGAGCTCCCTGAGGGCAGGGTCGAATCTCTCCCTCTCAGTGTAGCCTAGAGCTGGGTACCCAGTAGGGTCCCTAAAAGCCTTGCTGAACTCCCCAGCTTAGAGGCCCCTCCTGAAGGGCTCCAGGCACTAGAGGTTTATCAGGAAGCCGTGGGTCAGCCTCTAGGTGGGCAAGACTCTCTGGAAAGACAATTCAGCCCCCTGGGCCCTGGTACTACCCAGCGTGGGGCTGGGCACAGGGGCAGGGGCTCTTGGTGTGGGAGGGGTTCTGGAAGGGTTGCAGGAAAGTGAAGACGGGTCAGACCCAGTAGTTTCCCCAGAAGCAACTTCGATCCCTCTAAGGATTTTGTCCTCTCTGCCCAGAGACGGCTCAGGGGCCCTTGGCAAACCACTGGGACTGGACTGGGGTGTGGCAGGCAGGGTCACAACCTGGGTGTGGGCCACACTCACCTTGCTCAGCAGTGGCCTATCACCCTGTGTCCGACACACCACAGCACAGATTCGCACGGCCAGGCCGGGGCCAGGTGAAGGACCATCTGGGGGAATACAGGGAGGTCTAAGGCCAGCACAGAGTGGCCAGAAGGCCACACCAAGCTCCCACCCCTGGCCAGCCCAGGTGACTCTCACCTGAGCAGGGCAGCTGGACAGGTGGGTACACAGCCTCCACCAGGACACTCTCCTCCTCCTCCAGCTTCTCCAGCAGTGCCAGCACTGTGTTCACCACTGCACCCAGCTCTGCCCGTGGGTGCAGACGCAATGCCTGCCGCCCCCGCCAGCGCCAGCCACTGAGCTTCACAGCCACCTGCAGCAAGGAGGGGAAAGGGGACTCCTGGATGCCACCACAGGTACTGCAGGGTGGGGCGCTTCCACCACAGGAGCCGGTGAGTAAACTGAGGCAAAAGGGCAGGGGATTGCCCTAGAGATGGGGCAGTGGCAGGGCTAAGAGGTAGGGACACCTTTCCAGCCAGACTTGGTAGCCGTGCCTGGGTCCCATCCTGCTGGCATCTGTACAGACCTCAGGGTGGACAAGAGCCTGTTACCTGCAGGACATCACCCAGGGCCTCGGAGCGCAGAAAAGCCTCCACTTCCTCTTTCACCAGCGTCTCTTGGCCCTCTTTGCCACTCAGCTCCACCAGCCGTAGCCCTGGGCTGGAATCCCCTCCGCGCAGCAGCCCTGGCGGCTTGTAGGTGAATGCCAGGGTCGCTGGCACAGCCACACCACCCTGCTGGGCCAGCAACTGCCTTGTCAGCAGCCGGTCCTCCAGCAGCCGGGCCAGCTCAGCCGAAGCTCCTGTGGGGCAGGTCAGGTCACGGGCGAGCTCTGCTGCCTCTCGGCCCCGGCTGGGCCCCAGACCCAGGCCTGCCAGAAAGTAGGTGGCACGGCGTGGGGGGACAAAGTCATCCAGGAATGTCAGGCCCCCAGGGTGGAAGCTCACAGCCTTGGAGACCAGCAGGGCTGCCTCACCCGGCTGCCCAGGTGCTGGCACCTTCATCAACCAAGCAGGGGACAGGCAAAGGAGCATGTTTCCTGTGGGCAAAGAAGGCAAGTGGCTGGCCAGGGAAGGCTTGATGGCCCATGCCCAGGCCCCTGGGTAGCGGAGTGGGGGCAGCTGATCCCAGAACCCAACCCCACTCGGCATGGCAGCTGCTCCAGTGGAATGCAGGCAGTTGCCAGGGTTGGCGGGTATTTTGGGATGTAGCTGGGCCAGGGCAGGGCTGCCCTTTCTGTAGAAGGGGATGGGGAAACTTGAGCACACACTCACCCGGGCTCTGGACCCCACCCTCCAGCAGCACAGGCAGAAAGGTGCTGGGGGAGCCCAGAATGCACAAGGTCACCTCCGCCCCAGGACAGCCTCGGGAAAGAGAACATGGCCCAGCTCACCAGGGGCGCCCTTGTTGTCTCTCTGCCCACCTTCCACCACCTCCACACCCATGGCCTCACCCTGGGCCCCCAGAGTTTGCCCAGGAATCGGACGAGACAGGGGACAGACAGGGAGTGGACGTGCCCGCCAGTCCTGCCCTGTGAGACGGGCTCCCCCTTTCTGCAGTTGTTCCAGAAGTGCTGCAGGCTGGGTGACTGGAGACCTGGGTTCTAGCCTGAGCTCTGACTTTCTGTGTGACCTCGGAGGAGTCAGTGTTCTTCCGAGCCCCTGTTTCCCAGTTTGTACAATGGGACCAAGTCTGTGATTCTCAGGTATTCTACCTGCGAACCCTCTGTCCACACAAAATCTGTATATACAACAGGCGTGGGAGGGGCAGAAGGGGAGGAGTCTGGGGGATCTCAGCTGCTGAGCTGCCTCCGCCGCAGCTCCCAAGACCTTTCTCTAGAAGTTCAGTGCCACACAACATAGTTTCCCAATCCCAGGGCTGGGTCTTTTTGGGGAGGGGGTGAGGGCAGAGAGCCCTATCCTTGACCTCACTGGTGCCAGATGCCCTTGCAAACAATGTTTGCCTACCCTAGGCCAACTAGCTGTGCCTTTCCTGCCTTCAGACCGAACCAGAGCCTGGGGGAAGGGGCTGACCTTGACATGGACGAGGAAGCAGACTGGGCTGGGGGCCCCTCCCTGCCCCCAGGGGTGCCCCCCTCCAGGGAGCCCTTGGGCACCTGTGCGGGGCGCCTGGCTGCGGTCCTGGGTCTCCGGAAGGCCAGCTTGCTGCAGACAGCTCTGCAGGAGGCTGTAGTAGTAGACAGTCCAGGCCCGGGCCTCGGTCCCCTCGGGGGATCCCTTGCAGTCCAGGCCCACGTCCTGGCGCCAGGAGCCAGGGAAGCAGCCTGTGGGCGGCAGGCCAGAGCCCCCTCCCCAGGGGCCCTCATCCTCCAGGTCCTTGGAGCCCAGTGGGCAATCCCACTCGGGACCAGATGGATCCAGGGAGAGCTGAGAGGGCAGAAGTGGTGGATCTTGGGCAGGATGGGCCAGTGGTCACATTAAGTCACCCAAGGGTATAAGCCCCCCACTCTCCCAGCCTGGGCTGTGTTCAGGGCTGACACCGTCCCGGGGACTAGGAGAGGAAAGGCCTGTGTTGGGGGTGAAGGCGCATTAATGGGAACGCGATGGTGGGAGTGCTTTGTAAACTGTTCTGTGTGGTGCCCCTGGAGGAATGGCAGGAAGCAGTGTCCTGCCGACCAGCACCCCCCGTGTCCCCACGCTGGGCTCTGCCTTAGCTTGCTTCACAGCAGCAGAGTTTTCTGTTTGTTTTGTTCATGGAGGCAACCCCAGCACCTAAACCGTGCCTGGCACACAGCCACTGCTCAGTAAATGTTTGTTGACTGAAGAGCAGGTGAATGAATGAACCCAGCCATCACTCTGGGGTGGCTTATTTCTCTCTCATGACCCAGCATGGAGTGTGCTGACACCTAAATGTGATTCCTTGTCATTCCCACGTAGGCCTTGAAGCCCTACTGTGTGCCCAGCCCTGGGCTAGACATTAGGAGGGGGAGGGCTGGGACCCCTCTTTGCAGATATTTTGAGTCATGGAAATGCTTTCTTTGGATGAAACCTAATGTCCCTCCCCTCTCTGAGGCTGGCGCACCCCATATGGGGCTGCTGGGAGGCTCCGTGTGAATGGAATTCTTCTTCTTTGCAGTCCCCAGGCCTGGACAGGCCTGCCTGCTGGGTCTGTCCTCCAGGGGACAGGCTCAGCCACCTTGAGCAAGTTATGAGGTCTCTTTGGGCCTTGTTGCCTGGTGCCTGCCCTGTCCCATCCCCTGGGGGCTGATGAGGCTGGGACGAAGAGAATCTCTTGGTGGGAGATGGTGTGCTGTGGCCCAGACGGCAGAGGACTGGGCCTCACACCTGGGCTTGAATCCCAGTTTGCCAGGGCCAGAGCCTCTGTGCCCTCTCGTAGAAGGTGAGCTCCCTGAGGGGCCGTGGAATGAATGACTGTCACAGGGCACTAAGAGTGCCCAACTCCCAGGACCCAGCTGCAGGGTGGGGGTGGGGGAGCTGGTCATGGGTCTAAGCTCTTTGCATGGGGCAACCCCCAGGCTTAGGTCCTGGGTGCTGCCTGCTGTCTTCTGGGCCCTCTCTGCCCAGGGACTTGGGCCTTGTGGGGGAGGGATGGCAGGAGACTCACCATCTCGTGGGTGGAGTGGCTGAAAGACTGATGGCAGAGACAGAGGGACAGAGAGACGAAGGAGTCAGGGCAGCCAGGTCCCTGCCTGGCCTTCCAGCCCCTAGACTTTGGGAGTGGAGAGGTGGCCGACACCTGTCCCTGCAGAGAGAGGCCAAGACCGCCCCACCCCCACCCCGAAGATGGGGAGGGATTTCTGCTGCCCAGACCCAGTGGCTCCTGCCCCAACGCGCTCACAGGTCCTTCCTGCCCTAGGGTCCCGGCTCGGCTCTGCCCCTCCAGCGCGGGGGGAGTGGGGGGCGCCAGGTCCCGGGGGTGGGGAGCGTAGCGTCGAGGGTCCCGCCGCGGAGCGCGGGCGCGCGGGGTTCTCGTCCCCGCGACTCCTGCCCCGGCCGCCCCCCTCCCTGGCTCTCCCGGGGCAGGGCCGGAGTCGGGGTACCTGGCGGCGGTAGCGGCTGGGCGGGCGTGGTGGGCGGACTCGGACCGGGCGGGATGCAGCGGCGACGGCGGTGGCAGTGGCACAGCGCCGGGCCCAAGCGGCGCCGCTTTATATAGAAACACCCGGGGCATGCCCAGTGCCCGGCGGGGGCGGCGCGGGGCGGACGGACCGACAGGGACCGATAGGGACCCGCCAGGAACGTGCCTGCCCCACCCGCCACGAAAACGTCCCAGACCTGGGGGCGTGGGGCAGGACACGAACCCGGCAGGAGGAGGGCACGGAGCAGGCAAGGAGAGACGGAGGTCTTCAGAGACACAGAGGAAGTCCCGACACAGGGCCAGGTGCAGACGGACAGGGACTGTCGTCGGGGGTCACAGACTTAGGGCTGTGAAGAAAGAGGAAGGCCACCGTGGAGAAGAGATGGAAAGGAGGGGCGGGGAGAGCCGGAGCAGGCAGAGACTGGTACTAGGGCCCGCCCTTAGGGGTGGTGTGCCCGGGAGAGCAGCCTGGGGCACACAGCCCTGAGCTCTACCTTTGGATAGAGGCCGGAGCTCCCAGCCCTGCAGCCTTGTGTCCCAGCCGCCAGCGCTCTGCCCTATTGCACGTTCTCCCAGAGAGACCCTGCTGGGCCAGGGTCTCTGCACATCTGTGCAGCCTCCTCCTCACTTCTGGGCCCAGTGGACTTGCACACGGGGGCCAGGATGTCTCTAAGATCCAGTCTCTTCTGGTGTGTGGCTGCGTATCATCCCAGAACTTTGGGAGCCTGTGGCAGGAGGATTGCTTGAACCCAGGAGTTTGCAACCAGCCTGGGCAGCATAGCAAAAAAAAAAAAAAAAACTAGCTGGTTGAGGTGGTGTGGGCCTGTAATCCCAGCTACTTGGGAGGCTGAGGTGGGAAGATCACCTGAGCCCCACGGGTCGAGACCACAGTGAGTCCTGGTTGTGCCACTGCACTCCAGCCTGGCAATACAGTGAGACCCTATCTCTAGCTCTCTCTTTGTTTTTGTTTTTGTTTTTGTTTTTGTGAGACAGAGTTTCACTGTGTCGCCCAGGCTGGAGTGCAGTGGCGTGATCTCAGCTCACTGCAACCTCCACCTCCCAGGCTCGAGTGATTCTCCTACCTCAGCCTCCAGAGTAGCTGGGATTACAAGCACAAGCCACCATGCCCGGCTAACTTTTGTGTGTTTAGTAGAGACCGGGTTTCGCCATGTTGGCCAGGCTTGTCTTGAACTCCTGACTTCTGGTGCTCCGCCTGCCTCGGCCTCCCAATGTCCTGAGAATACAGGTATGAGCCACTGTGCCCAGCCGAGACCCTATGTCTTTTTTTGACCCTATCCCTTTTTTTTTTTTTTTTTTTTTTTAGACAGTCTTGTTTTGTCACCAGGCTGGAGTGCAGTGGCACGATCTTGGCTCACTGCAACCTCCACCTCCCCAGGTCCAGTGATTCTTCTGCCTCAGCCTCCCAAGTAGCTGGGACTACAGGTGCGAGCCACCATGCCCAACTACTTTTTTTTTGTCGGGGGGAGGAGTTTCGCTCTTGTTGCCCAGGCTGGAGTAGCTGGGATTACAGGCATGCGCCACCATACCCAGCTAATTTTGTATTTTTAGTAGAGACAGGCTTTCTCCATGTTGGTCAGGCTGGTCTTGAACTCCCAACCTCAGGTGATCCGCCTGCCTCAGCCTCCCAAAGTATTAGGATTACAGGCATGAGCCACTGTGCCCAGTCCACCCAGCTAATTTTTGTATTTTTAGTGGAGGCGGGGTTTCATCATGTTGGCCAGGATGGTCTCAATCTCCTGACCTCGTGATCTGCTCGCCTCAGCCTCCCAAAGTGCTGGGATTACAGGTGTGAGCCACCGTGCCCAGCCCCCCATCTCTTTAAAAAGAAAAAAGAAAAGAAAGAAAGGAAAAGAAATCTGCTCTGCTCATCAACACCCACCTAGGTCAACTTCACACCCGGAGTTGAAGCTACAATCTCCCCAAGACACACATACTCACACCCAAGTGCACCCACCCAAACAACCACAGAAGCTACCCCAAGAGACCTGGGTCACAGCCACAATTCACCCACAGAAGCACAACCAAAGATTCACACCCTCTCCTGGAGTGTGTCCTACCAGTGAGTTTCAATCCTAGCTCTGGCTGTGGGACCTGGGCCCCTCCCCTTTATGATCTGAAGCTCAGTCTCCCCAGCCTAGAATGGGGCTGCTTCCCCTCTCCCAGGCAGGGCAGCCCGTGGCTCTGATTCCTCCCCCTCACAGCCCCCAGTCAGTCCCTCTCCCTACCTGTCTCAGAGCTGGACACATTGAGCCCTGGCTGCCCTTGAGAGCCTCCTGGCCTGGGGGAGAGCACTGAGGGGCCCACACACATCAGGGACAGAGATGACAGCTGTTGGACCCTTTCTGCAACCTAAACAGGGCAGTCTGTGCAGACAGATCCCTGTCTACCACTGGAGGGGTTGGCAGAGAGCGGAAATGGCTTCTCCAGGGTGCCTAGCCCAGCCCACATGCAGCCCTCCCAGCAGCTGGCCCAGGCTCCAGGAATGAGGTACAGCCACCCCAGGACACCCAATCCCTTGCTGCCTGAGTGGCATGAGCGCCCATGGGGTCCCACGGTGGGGCCTGGGTGTGATCCAAAGAGCATGAGTTTTTGACACGTAACAACAAATTTAACAAGCTCTGCAGCCCCGGGGACTCAGTTTTCTCATCTTCAAATGAGGATACAGTGCACACTTAGCCCAGGCTTAACACTTCACATGCAAGGGAGCAATTATGAGACTCAGAGAGGTCGTGTGACTTGCCCAAAGTCACACAGCTAGTGAGAGGCAGAGCTGAGATCTTCTGCCAGAATACGTGCATGCCCGCACGGACTGCTGTGTGGTGTGCCCTCTCCCTGGCCACCCTGGCTGGTCCCTGGCTGCACTGGCTTTTGCCTTGTGGACATGGAGGAAAATCAGAGTTGGGCAGCTGCAGCCCAAGCTCAGGGCCCTGGGACTTGGGGCAGGCAGGTGGGCAGCGTGGTTCTGCTCTGCCCCTGCCAGGAAAGCCTGGACATCACCTGAGGCAGAGCCAAGTCAGGTAGGGGTGGGGTGAGGAGAGGGAGTGTTTTGGCTGCTGCGCAGCTGGACTGAACAGTCATCATCACCATCATGAGCTGGCAGAGCACTCTTGAGGCTGGGGTGGAGGCTATTATAATCCTATTATCCGCGGGAGAATACTGAGGCTCAGAGAAGGAGAAAGGGTCTTTCCCATGTTGGGGAGTCCAAGTCTGACCCTTCTGGGAGCCTGGAACAGTGTGGGAATTCAGGGAACCTCAAGTGGGTGGCAGTGCAAGATGGAGACCGTGGGTCCCCCCGATCCATGGCAGGCACCCATTTGCCCCCCATCCACTCCTTTGCATGCCCCGACTTGTGTCCAGTCTGCATGCCCCACTCTGAGACAGGTTGACGGACATGCCAGGGCCCTCCCAGCTCCTGTCCCCACACACTGCGTGCCCTCTGATGCTTCGCTTCCCTTCTCTGAGCCCCTTTCCAGGCAGATCTGTAGGGACTTTCTAGGTTCTTTGAGCATGTTTGTGTCGGTTGCTCACTGCACAGAGGCACCTGGGTGAGAGGTCATGCCCCACTCTGCTACACCGTGCACTCTGGTGAGGCTGCATGTTGCCTGGAGGAGAGACATCTTTCCTTAGCTGTCAAAAAGGTGCTGTGGGGGCTGGCGCAGCCCTGCGGAGGAGAGCCTGTGAGAACGCATGTGCGCGAGGGTTCACGCCGGGAGAGCACTGGTCCTCTTCTGTCCGACCCATGAGCTAGGGCTCCCATGCAGATGACTGATAAGGAAACCTACAGAAGGGCTGCCCAGAAAACAGTCTTCTGCGTAGGAAAGGCAGTGACTGAGCCCCAGCTAGAGGGGCCCTGCTGGAGACCACCTGCTTCTAGGTTCTGTGTCCAGGGTGAACCACTGCCACCGTGCCCCTGCAGGCTCGTGACAGACCCTCGGCCCAGGGCTGAGGCTGCTGCACCTTGCTCCCCTATTCTCCCAGGCGAAGAGCTGAACTGTGGAGGGTGGGGAGCTCCCAAGTAGACTTCAGGGACAAGTGCCCCCTGACCCCGGCCACCCTGCCTGCTACAGTGCCTGAGATTCCACCAAGACACTCCTCGTCTAAGGCTAAGGCATAGTCTGCCCAGCACAGAGCCTTGCCTCTGCATTCCAGCCGGCTCTGCCTTTCACTGTGGGCCTGGGTAAGGTCCTTGTCCTCACTGAGCCTCTGTGTCTCTAACAGGGATATCGGGGGCCACCTGCAGAGAGAGGGTCTGGCAGGGGGTGTCTGGGAAAGGGTTTTGTAAACTACAGGTAAGGAGGCTATTACTAAGTTGCAGGCACCCCAGCGGGGCGAGGAGGAGTGGGCGGAGGAGGCTCTGGAGCGCTCTCTAACGCACTGTTGCCTCCTCCACACACACGGGCTGGTGCGGGATTGGGGGTGGGGTGGGGAAGGAGAAGGAGACAGCACTCCCAGGGGGCTGCCTAGTGGGGAGCTGCCAGTGGTCGGGACAGGGGTAAACCTTGGGTCTGCCATGGATAGTAAGGCTTTCTGCAAGTTCCTGCTTCTCCTGAGCCTCAGTTTCCCCCAGAGAAATGACAGATAAGGGTCTGGGCCACTTGATTCCCTATTCCAGGGGGTAGGCTCCTTGGGAGTAGGACAGGTCTGCCCAGGACCCAGGACCCAGGACCTGGCACTTGCCACATAGATGCAGCCTGTGGCCCTGTCGCAAGAACATTCCAAACCCAGAGTCCGACAGGTGACTCCACTGACACCCCACCCAATGAGCACCTCTGGAGCCCGAGCCTGCAGATGCCTCCCATCCATATGGAGTCCTGCCGTGTTCCCCATTGAGAGGCGGGCACTTGGGAACGGGCACTGCGGGACACAAGTCTGTGTCGGAACCAGCCCTGTTGCCCTGGCGATGGCTCAAGTCCTAGGCACCCACAGGGGCTATTAGTGAGTGTGGGAGGGGGTTTCCATGGTGGCGGTCCCGAGGGGGCAGACACAGGGATCAGGGAGGGGCGAGGGCTGGCGGGACCTTTCTCCTTTGTCCGCGGCACACTAGGCCTTTGTTCTTGCCTGGGTCCCTTTGGCAGATGTGACCAGGACCATGGGTGCGGGGAGGACTTGGGTTAGAGTCCCCCATCCCAGCGAATTCTGAACCACCCTGGAGGGAGGGGAAGGAGGGCAGAAGAGGGGGTAGAACTCCTGGACTCGCCATCCACTGGGGCGCCCTCCTTCTGCAGGTGCAAAAGCCACTCCTGTCCCCAGACGCTGGGGCAGGGTGACTTTCAATTGACTCTTATTAATGTAAACACCTTCCCCAGCTGCCAGTGGGCAGCCTCGGTGTGTCCCCAGGGCAGGAGCAGGAGAGGGCAGGGCTGGGAAGGGCAGGTGAGGGAGGAGGGGAAGGGGCAGGCTGTCTGGGGTTGGGAGGAGGGCATTTGATCCAGCGCCATCCAAGGCTCTGAAGAGCTGAAGATCCAAGTTCAAAAATATTTTATTTCTGGAGCCCTCTGGGGTCCCTTCACCCAGCCAACCCCTTCCCTGACTCCTATGGTGCCGGCTTTGGTACTTGTGAGGGCCTGGGCACCAGGACGGTTCCATGAGTCCTCAGGTGCCCCACTCTGTGACCCTCCTCCATGCTAGTGCCTGACCCAGTATGTACCACGGAGGACCTCCTCCTCCCCCACCGCCTGGTCCTTGCCTGGAAGGAAGCTGAGTCCCAAGAGTAAAGTGCGGTGCCCATTTGCAGGGCTGGCATCAGCCATCAGGCAATTGAGACTGGGGAACACTGAGTCCATGGTCCTCTCAGAAGCGGGTGTCCAGGAAGGAGGTGGAGCCTCGTTGGGGCCTTGGAGGCCCCTCGATGGGGGGGCCCCGGGCCCGAGTCAGGAGCCCATGGAAAGTCTTGCCACGGGTCTGGGGTTTCCGCCGTGGTGGTCTGGGCTCCTCTGGGGGCTGCACCACAATCCGAGGCACCTCAGGCTTGGCGCCTCGTCGTGCCCCTGCCAGCTGCTGGGCCTCGAAGATGGCTTGGGCCCCAGCGAGACGGACCTGTGGCCGGGGCGGTGGCCCGGGCGCAGAATCAGGCAGCTGGGCCAGCTGGGCCTTGATCTCCCGCTGCAGGTCCCGCTCTGACAGCACCACGTTGTGCACCTGTGGGGAGCAGTTGGTGCTGCGTTTGCCCGGCCTCAAGGCAGGAACAGGAAACTGAGGTCCCCAGCCCAGGAAGTGGCTGAGGACTGAGGGCCTGACAGACAGCCTCGCTGGGGAGCCACAGAAAGCCACTGGAAGCCTCGGGTTTTCGTGTTCTCTGAAGCTCAGGGGACAGGAACTAAGTCCCCGTTCTCGCTTTGGGTTCCTGCTCTGGGACTCAGTTTCCCCCATGCAGCAGGGGCTGGGCAAGTCCGAGGAGAGGCGGGGGCACCCACCTGTGACATGAAGGCCTCCTCCTGCAGCTGCGCGGGGGGGATGGCTCGAAGGGCTCCGAGTGTCTCTAGGAGGCCAGGGCAGGCCCCTCGTTGCTCTGCAGTGCCCAGCGCCAGGCGCACCAATGTCAGCCCCACACGGAACAGTACCTTGGCACCTGCAGGCCAGAGGCTCACTCACTGGGAGGCCGGCCCCGCCCCTCCACAGTTCTGCACCCAAACCAGCCCTCAGCCATGTTCCTGCCACTCTCCTGCAGCTCTGCCCCCCGCAGTTCAGGTACAATGACAGAGGGTAGAGTTGCATTCTGGGCGACACAGCCCGCTGCACTGGTCAAGTCAGCCTCAAGAGCCACAGATGCTTTGGGGAAGAGTTAATATCTTGTGAATTTGGTTACTGTCACCTCCCATCCCCACCCCCGCCAGAATGAAGGTCTCAATCGCTTGATGCTCAGATGCCATCCACATCTGGAGCCAGCAAGTGCCTGTGGGCTCCGGGGAGGAGCACCTCCTACCCTCCCTGAGCCAGTCAGGCCTCTATGTGCTATGATCACCCAGCTCCTACCCCAGGCGGCATTCGGGTGACAGGTGATGTGCCACCAGGCACAGGACTATCACCTTCAGCACACCTGGTCCTATGACTCGAGGCTCCAAAAGGGAACCCCGGAGCTGGTGAGCTAGCTCCCTGCCCACACCCCAAGGCTCCAGTCCCCTCCAAGCCACCAGCTTCCTGCCAGGAGCCCGGGGCTACTGATGCCTTCACACCAAGCCCTCCTTGGGCCTCAGCTTGCTCATCTCCATGAGGAAAGGTCAGGTGGAGCCCTTTAAGGGCCTTTCCAGCTTGGATCTGTGACCCTCTGATTCTAGAAAGATCCTAGGCAGAACTGCTCTCCCCTAAGCTAGGAGCATAGCACTTGGTGCACTCCCCACAATGCAAGCTTGGGCTAGTCCTGGAGCCTCAGAATCCTTTCCTGGCAGCCTCTGATCTGAGAAGAGACACCAGGGGACCAGCAAGGTTGAGTGATGATGGTGACTGTCAAGAAACAATCACTATTCATGCTATCGTCCTTCTGATAAAGGGAGCCTGTGTAGTGTTTGCTCTCAGGCGGGCAGGTCAAGCCCTGCCCAGCTCTGCCCAGCCCTGCTCTCGAGGTCTGAGGCTGGTTGGGAGGTGACCGCATGGATAGTGACTTGGACACCTGTGACCAGAACTCTGAGCCAGCCAATGGTCCTCCACTGTGCGGAGGGCAGGAAGCCGGCCGAGCACACGACAGGCATTCAGTATGCATGCTGATTGATTTCTACCACGTTTTAAGGTGCAACCTCCAGATCTCACATACAGAACAGAATGCAGGTGGGTTACCAATGGCAGTATCAAGGCGGAGTCCCAAAGACACAGGGAGTCCAGCTTGGCCCTGCTCCGACTCCCCTCCTGTTCTTGGCCTGGCCCCCAGCCTCCACTTCTCTGGCTTCATGGCTCCAAGCCCTCCCTCCTTCATGGACTGTAGCCTGGCCCCTGGGGACAGTGGCCTCTCTGGCCCCAGGCCTCCACAGGCACCCCTGGGAGTCCTCCTCCTGCACAGAGCAGCCAGAAGGAGCTTAAATGCACCCATCGCCCCTGCGCTCCCCTGACACTGTGTCACATCCCTAGTTTTCTTCATGGCACTTCTGACAATCTATAAATATCTTGTGTGAATTTGGTTACTGTCGCCACCCATCCCCACCCCCGCCAGAATGAAGGTCTCAATCACTTGATTCCCAGCTGCAGATCCACGTCCGGAGCCAGCGAGCACGCAGCAGGTGCCTGCGGGCTCCGGGGAGAAACGCCTCCTACTGTCCCCGAGACACTCAGGCCTCCATGTGCTGTGATCGCCCAGCTCCTGCCCCATCTGCCTCCCCTGGAAGCCTCTCTGGCCCAGCTCTGCACCAGGCAGTGCCTGGGTGATGGGTGATAGGTGATGTACCACCAGGCACCAGGCCATCACCTTTGGTACACCCAGTCCTGTGATCTGAGGCTCAAAAAGGGAACCCCAGGGCTGGTGAGCTACCTACCCACCCATACCCCAAGGCTCCTGCCCCAGCCACTGGCTGCCCCACTCACCCTCACTGAGGAAGGCATCCCAGACACGCAGCACTGTGGGGAAGGGCAGGGAGCGGGCGAAGAGGCACAGGAACCACTCGGGCAGGTAGAGCAGGGGCCCGACGCCCACCTGCTGCAGGTGCTTGTGTACGTGCGGGAGCAGCCGCCGCAGCAGGGCCATGAACACCTCAGCATCCAGCCGCACAGCCTCCTGTGGCCACGTCCGTCAGCAGGCCAGCACCGCCACCCCCAGAGCTCAGGCTCAACCTCCCTCAGTCCCCAGACCCCCACCCACTCACCGGGCCCCTGCCCCTCCCTCCTCCATTCCCCATGCCAGCCCCTCACCATGTGGGGCCCGTAGTAGCCGGGGAGGTAGACCTCACAGATCTGCACCAGGCACCAGAAGGCCTCCTGGGGAAGGGGCACAGGCCTGTAAGTGCCCACCAAGGAAGGGACCGCAGAGGGGAAGTCAGGACAGGGGAAAGGAGTGAAGGGGAGGGCCTGGGCACCACAGGAGCCTGGACTCAGGGCCACTCCTAACCTGCTCAGTTCCTGGGAGCCCTTCCCAAAAGCACCCCCCTCTGCCCAAGACAGGGCCTGCTGAGGGGTTTAGGGTGTTGGAAATCACAGGGCTCATGGTATTAGATTTGAAGGTCACAGGGTTGGGGTTCACTGGCCAAAGGTTGGGAGTGTCCCAAAGTTCAAGTCCTGGGTTTCTGGGGTCATTGGGGTTGGGGTCACAGTCCCCAAGTTCAGAATCAGGAGTCGTGAAGTCAAGGTGATAATATCCAGATTCCTAGATGACTGGGGTCAAGGTTGGGATCAAGGGTCCCAGGTTCCTGGAGTCAAGGTCATTAGGCTTGAAGGTCTGTGAGGCTGGCAGTCATGAGGCCCTGGGTCACTAGGACGGGGTCCAGGAATCAAGGATCGCAGGTTTCTGAGGCCACAGTTCCTGGGGATGGGGTTCCCTGGGCTTAGGTCACTAGGGTTCCCGGAGCGGGGTCAAGGTCACTCACCTCCGGGGGCAGGTGCATGAGCAGCACAGCAGCCACAGGCCCCTGGGCCTGGCAGTAGCCCTGCTCCGGTCGATACAGGGTGTAGGCCTTGAGCACCTGCAGGAGCCCTTGCTGCCTGTGCCGGAAGACCCCATAAGGGGCCAGTCCTGCAGGCACCCCTTTCTCCACCCTCTGGGGGTCTCTGCCCAGGTCTCAGCCTCCCTGGGCCTTGCTGGGTCCCCTGAGATGCAAGACTGCACAGCTGGGCTGGGGAAAGTGGGCTGGAGCACCCAGGGCTTGTGGGGCTGGGGGTCCCTGGGTATCACCGGCCTCATACCCGTGGCCCTGAGGTGACACAAACATCTCGTGCAGGGGGAACTGGCGGTGCAGGTCCCTGCCAATGGTCTCCATCCACTGTGGGTCTCCAGGGGCCTCTGCCAGCTCCTGTGGGTAGCCAGGAAGGTGGGTGTGAGGGTTTGGTGTGGTGAGGGGCTCTGTTAGGGGAGTTGGGGCCCCTGCCCACTCCCTCACCTGATAGGTGCCAGGGCTGTTCTTCTGGCACACATGGGCCCCGCACAACAGGGGCCAGCACCGGGCACGCAGGGCAGACGGGATGCCTTTCCGGCACTGCATCTTTACCTGTGGGCAAGGCCAAGGGCTCCACTAGGCAGCCTCCATAGCTCCCGCTGGCAGGCCCCAGGCACAGCTCATCAGCAGGCAGAGGCCCACTTTGGGTGGCAGGGAGCAAAGGCAGGAGGTGCTGGGACACAGGGTGAGTACATTTTGCCAAGATGTGGGCCGAGGCAGACAGGAGTGAGCCACGGAGGCCAATGGGGCCCCTGCCCTGCCCCCCTCACCTTCTTGTACTGCTGGGGGCCAGTAGTGCCCCTGCCCTGCCCCTCACCTTCTTGTACTGCTGGGGGCCAGTAGTGCCCCTGCCCTGCCCCTCACCTTCTTGTACCGCCGGGACATGGTTTTCTCCCAGTGCAAGGTCATCTCCACCCACTTCATCTCCCGCTGGCGGATGAGGTCTGCAGGCGGGTGGCCGGGCCTGGGAATGCATGGCACAGGTATCCAGGCGCTGGGCAGCTGTTACCCAGGGCCCACACTGCCACCCTCCAGGCTACCCAGGTGAACCCAGCTCCTGGCCCTAGGGATCTCTGGGAGCCCTGTGGGGTGACCTGTGACCCAGGAGCTGCCAATGCTTGTCATGGGGACAGGAAAGGATGTGGCCCCAATGTGGGCAGAAGCAGGAGATTGAAGGGGTGAGTGGGTGTGTGTTGGGGGAGGGGCTGATTGGCTGTCACCCAGGACAGGGACACAATTCACAGGGGAAGCTGGCTGGAGAGAGCCCTGGACTGGAAGCCCAGAGTCCTGAGTTTGAATCTGGGTCTGTGTCTGATCTCCTGTGTGACCTGGGGCGAGTTTCCGTCTATATCTGGACTTGTGTTTGTGTCTGTAGCTTGGGGAAAGGGGGAAGGAGGAGGTATGGGTCTGTGATTCGGATCTGGGATTCCTGAGCCAGAGGTTCAAAGGGGAAGGATGTTCTGCCCCAGTGGTGGGTGCGAACCCTCAGAGGCTGGGGGTAAGAGATGTACAGAGGCCTCCCCGACCCTTCCCACCTTAGTGTTCCACCTGGCGCCTGCGGACGGGTGCTACTGGCTGAGTCCCCCTCCCAATCCCTACCACCAGACCCTCCCGGCCTCCCTCCAGAATTCAGCCCTCAGCCCCCATCCTCTGTCCCAGCATCCCACCATCCCTCACCCTGCCCCCTTACCCTGGCTCTGCCGAGCTGCCCCCAATGAATCCATAGCGGTCGGCCTGGCGATATGGGCCAGGCCCACTGAGCTCTGAGTCGGACCCCAAAGAGCTGGAATCATCCTGCAGCTCGGGAGGCTGCACCAGGTCCTCCCCCAGGGCCTGGGCCATGGTGCCCGGGGCCTTCAATGCCACAGGCAGAGAAAGTGGGGAGAACCAGTGTGAGGGGCCACTCCCGGCCAGCCTGGGGCCTGGCTGCGGGGTGAGAGTGGGGAGGTTTCAGGGTATCTCACCAAGCCAACTACGTCTCCTCTTTTATGGGGGCAGAGGCTAGGCCCTGCCCTGACAGAAAAGCCAGGCCTCTGTCCGGAGACCCAGCCCCAGGCCCAGCCTCTGTCTCCACCAGCCCAGCTCACCTCCTGCAGCACCTCACCTCCTCCTCTCACTTCCTCCTCCTCCTCACACAGCTTCAGCAACCGCTGGGGGCCCCTCCCAAGGGTGGGGGGTGTCACCCCTTCCTTTCTGAGGCTCTTCCTGCCTGCCCCAGTGCCCCTGAGCTGTGGGCTCCTCCCACCCTCCCCATGGCCCCAGTGACTGAAGGCTTGAGTTCCTGTGCTGCGTGTGGAGGGCCCAGGCCTCTTAGACACAGAGGCCAGGCCACCTCCAATTCTTTTGTTTCTTTTGAGACAGAGTCTTGCTCTGTTGCCCAGGCAGTGACATGGTCTCAGCTCACTGCAACCTCCACCTCCCAGATTCAAGTGATTCTCCTGCCTCAGTCTTCCAAGTAGCTGGAACTACAGATATGCACTACCACGCCCGGCTAATTTTTGTATTTTTAGTAGAGACAGGGTTTTGCCACATTGGCCAGGCTGGTCTCAAACTCCTGACCTCAGGTGATCTACCCACCTCAGCCTCCCAAAGTGCTGGGATTATAGGCACGAACCACCGCGCCTGGTCTTTGTGTTTGTTTCTTGAGGGTCATGCTCTGTCACCCAGGCTGGAGTGTAATGGCAGGATCTGGGCTCACTGCAACCCCCAGCTCCTGGTCTCAAGAGATCCTCCTGCCTCAGCCTCCCTAGTAGCTGGGACTGCAGGCGTGCACCACCATGCCCAGCTAATTTTTGTATTTTTTGTTGAGATGAGGTTTCGCCGTGTTGCCCAGGCTGGACGCAAGAGACCATCCCACCTCAGCCTCCCAAAGTGCTGGAATTACAGGCCTGAGCCACCACGGCAGGCCCACCTCCAGTTCTGAGGTTACTGGCGTGTAAAGCACCCAACTCAGGGTTCCAACAAGAATTAGGGTTAATTTATCCTCTGCTCCTTTTTTTTTTTTTTTTGAGACAGAGTCTCACACTGTCACCTTGGCTAGGGGGTGCAGTGGGCCTTGGCCCACTGCAACCTCCGCCTCCCAGGTTCAAGCGATTCTCCTGCCTCAGCCTCCCCAGTAGCTGAGATTACAGGTGGCTGCCATCATGCCCAGCTAACTTTTTGTATTTTTAGAGAGATGGGGTTTCACCATGTTGGCCAGGCTGGTCTTGAACTCCTGACCTCAAACAATCCTCCCACCTCAGCCTCCCAAAGCGCTGGGATTACAGGCGTGAGCCACCGCACCCAGCCATGTCTGCTCATACAGTAATTCTTTTTACGTGCACACCCTGCAATATTACTGTGCTACTCAAAAGCTAATTATGGGGCCAGGCTTGTTGGCTCACGCCTGTAACCACCCCAGGACTTTGGGAGGTCGAGGCCAGTGGATCACTTGAGGTTAGGAGTTCAAGGCCAGCCTGGCCAACATGGCGAAACCCCACCTCTGCTAAACACACAAAAACCAGGCGCAGTGGTGCGCGCCTGCAATCCCAGCTACTCCAGAGGCTGAGGCAGGAGAACCCCTTGAACCTGGGAAGCGAATGTTGCAGTGAGCCAAAGTCGCGCCACTGCACTCCAGCTTGGGCGACAGAGCAAAACTGTCTCCAAAAAAAAAAAAAAAAAAAAAAAAAAGCTAATTATGGGACTTGTACGAAAATATTAATTTATCATGCCCCAAGGACCAAAGTGCGCTGGAAGTTCAGCCGTAGCTGTCTTTCAGTGTGGTCAGCCGCCTGGGGGCCACGGAGACCCACGAAAAAGGGGGTCCTACGTGAATGCGAGGTCCAGGTCTTGCACCAGTCTGTTCATATCTCTTGAGCCTCAGTTTCCTTTCCTGCACTTCCAGCAGTTAACCCTCGGTGCCTAGCAGCCGGTTATTAATATGTTCACAACACCCTCCACCCAGGGCAGGGGTGGGAACGGCTGTTCTGCTTTTGAAAGAGAAAAACAACTTCCACAGTCCTTCCGGCCCCACATCCTCTGAACCGGGATGGGCGCCTCCTCTGGGGCGTAACCAGTTGGACGCGCCCCCGACAGACCCCGCCCCCAGCCCGCCGCCCAGGCCCCGCCCCCCGGGCCGCGGCGCTTCACGTCCAGCGGGGGCGCTAGAGCGCGGGGGACCGGGCGGGGCGGGCCCGGGAGGCCCGGAGGCGGGGCCGCGGGCCGGGGGCGGACTGGGGCGGGCGGAAGGAGAGCCAGGCCGGAAGGAGGCTGCCGGAGGGCGGGAGGCAGGAGCGGGCCCGGAGCTGCTGGGCTGGAGCGGCGGCGCCGCCATGTCCGATAGCGAGAAGCTCAACCTTGACTCGATCATCGGGCGCCTGCTAGAAGGTTGGTCGCGGCGGGGGAGGCCTGCGTCCGCCGCGCCCGGGCCCCCTGCCGGGCCCGGAAGTGGCGCGCGGGCGGGCCCCCGGGGCCAGCTTAGACTGGGCGGGGACGGGCCGCGAGGTTCGGTGGCCGCAGCCGCCCCCCCCCCCCCCCCCCCGCGGACGCGCCTGAGAGGTCCTGGGCCCGCTCCGACGCGCGGAGCAGCCCCCTCTCCCGGGCCGGGGGCGCACGGGTTGCCTGGGTTCTTGAGGCGAGGGAGAAACCCGGGAAGCCCGGTCCAGGAAGAGGTCCTGCGCTGTGAGGTTTTTGGGTGGCAGCCCCTTGCGCACAACAGTCGCCTCCCGAGGCGCTGAGGGTAGTTGGGGGCTTCCCTCGGGAGGCGTGAGGCCGATGTCCCGGGAGGCTCAGCAGCAACAGCTGCCTGCGGGCAAGGAGCGGCCGAGGAGGCCTAGGCGCCCCCGGAGGTATCCATGGGGCCACCCGTGTCGCCCACCCTCCTCCTGTCAGGGTCCAGGGTCTTGACACCCCATTGCGCCCCCAGTGCAGGGCTCGCGGCCTGGCAAGAATGTACAGCTGACAGAGAACGAGATCCGCGGTCTGTGCCTGAAATCCCGGGAGATTTTCCTGAGCCAGCCCATTCTTCTGGAGCTGGAGGCACCCCTCAAGATCTGCGGTGAGCCCCCCGACCCAGGTCCCCTTGCTTTCCTGAAAGTGGCACTGGCCCCCACAGAGTTCCTGGAGTCCTCCTCCCTTGAGCCCAGTCCTGGTCCTGGGTTCAGATCTAGACCCTGCATCTAGCTTACCCCATTCCCTGGGTCACAGGTGATATACACGGCCAGTACTATGACCTTCTGCGACTATTTGAGTATGGCGGTTTCCCTCCGGAGAGCAACTACCTCTTTCTGGGGGACTATGTGGACAGGGGCAAGCAGTCTTTGGAGACCATCTGCCTGCTGCTGGCCTATAAGATCAAGTACCCCGAGAACTTCTTCCTGCTCCGTGGGAACCACGAGTGCGCCAGCATCAACCGCATCTACGGTTTCTACGATGAGTGTGAGTGGTCTGAGCGTCTGGGGCTGCCCGGGTCCTGAACCACACTCCTTGTCATTCAGTGGGACCTTCACATTGGCCTGATATCTGACAGACACTTGCTAGACTGTGCGCTCCACAAGGCAGGGCCCAGGTCTGTTCTTGTGCCTGCCCTGCCCCTCCTGGCATGGGGTCTGGGGAATGGTTGCTGACTGAAGGACTGTCCGTATTCTAGTGCTTTCCCCCAGGGCCCTGCCTGGTGACGTTCCCTCTACATTTGCCACTAAGCATTTAGGATGTTTGCAGATGAGCTCTGCTGTCCAGAAGCTGAGATAAACCAGACCTGTACTTGGCCCGGCTCGTGGGCCGGGGTGTGCAAGGAGTGCCAATCCTGAGGCTGGTCCAGATTGGAACTCAGTTTCCAGTGGACTCAGGTGCTTTAGAATTACTTCTGGTGGGAGGCTGAGGCGGGAAGATCACTTCGACCCAGAAGCTCCAAGTTACAGTGAGCTATGATCTTGCCACTGCACTCCAGCCTGGGTGACTGAGCAAGACCCTGTTTCTTTACTTTTTTGAGACGGAGTTTCGCTCTTGTTGCCCAGGCTGGAGTGCAGTGGTGTGATCTCAGTTCACCACAACCTCCATCTCCCGGGTTCAAGCGATTCTCCTGCCTCAGCCTCCCGAGTAGCTGGGATTACAGGCATGCGACCCCATGCCTGGCTAATTTTTTGGTATTTTAGTAGAGACAGGGTTTCTCCATGTTGGTCAGGCTGGTCTTGAACTTCTGACCTCAGGTGATCCGCCTGCTTTGGCCTCCCAAAGTGCTGGGATTACAGGTGTGAGCCACCATGCCCTGCCCAAATCCTGTTTGTTTAAATTACAAATTAAAATAAAAAGTAACTAGAATTGCTCCTGGAAGGCTGACAGGCGGCAGGGGTGGGGGGTGGTTTGCATTGGTGCCTGACTCTCTCCCATCTGTGGC